GAATCAATTTGACAATTATCTGAAGATTGATATTGTTCAGATATAATTTTAGCCTTTTTTTTTGATTTTTCTTTAAAATAATCTTGAATTGATTGTTTACTTGTTTTATAAATATTATCTGATATTATTTCACTTTTCTTAAATTAAATTTAAAATAATTAATAATAATAATAATAATTATAATAAAACCTTTTCTTCATCTTCATGTTCATCTTGTTTTATTTGATCAAAATTTATTTTCTTATCTTTATTCCAACCAAATACAGAATCAAGTTCATTATTTGATCTTGAACTTAAATCTTTTCCACTTGATTGTTTTTTATAACTATTATAAATAAATATTTTATTTAAATAAATAAATAAATAAATATTAAATAAACAAACGTAAATCTTGTTTTAGTTTGTTGAAGAGTTTGATTAAAATCGTGAATTAAAGATGAAGAAGATGATGGATGAGATTGTTTAAGTTGTTGAAGAAGTGAATCAAATGAATGTGAATGAGAAATCCATGTTGAATCATATTGACCATTAACAAAACCAACTCCTTTTAAATTTGATTTATATTTTAAATCAATATGTTCTGTTCTTCCATCTTCATTTTTTCCTAATCCAACACCTGTTTTCCAACCCATTTTTTCAAGCATTCTCTTACCAAATTTATTTCCATCTAAATTTTAGTTTTTTTGTTTTTCTTTGTAATATAGTTAAACAATATCTTCTTTTTAAAAAATCTTTTAAATAGAATTATTCTAGAGCTTCTAGAAACATTAGTTGATTAGTGCGTACTTAACATATATGGATGGCACAACAACATCAGTATGTCATATATGTATTATAAATAACTATTCGTACTTTCCTCTTTCTTCTTAAGGACATTAAGCAAAAAGAACGAAGAAAAAAAAAAAAAGCAAGTACATTTATTTATTTCTTCCATTTACATAGATTAACAAGAATGACTAAACTATGACATCTAATATAAAATCTATTCGATAATGTTCAACATATTCATTTCGATCAAACTCGATTTTATTTTCATAGATAGATTTTCGTTTTTCTTTTTAAGTTAACTAACTTTTATTATTATCATTGTGAAATATTTTATTAAGATAAATTCAATTAAATCAAATATTTCTTCTCTTAGAGATTTTCATTTGAAAAAAATAAACGAAATAATAAAAGAAAATATTTATTTTAAACTGAGATTGAAGATAACCTTTGTATAAATTTCAATGATTAATTTTAATCGTAGAAGAACATATTTATAATATATATATGGGGGGTGGTCAATTCGACTGGTACTCCGTTTTGATACAGTCCTATTGTACGGATAAAATCTACTATTGTCCGGGCCATATAATAGAGAATCGTATATAACCCTGGATTGATCCGAACAACACTATGTTTTATCCTTACAATAGGACTGTATCAAAAGGGGGGTACCAGTAAAATTGACCACCCCAATATATATCTTAAGTAAATAACTAACTACTCATTGACCTATTAAAAAGCATATATACATAGTTTTTTAAAATAATTTGTTTCTTCATCGAGAAAAATCATATTCAATTAAATAAATTTATCGAATATCAAAAGATAACTTTAAAAAAGACACAAAACAAACAAAAAAAATATTAAACTTACCATCAACCCATTCAGTTTTGTTTTGTATAACATATCGAATTTTAGATTTTTTTTCATTAAGACTAACCATTATTTAAACAAAGTTTACAATCAATCTTAAATAGAGATAAAAGACCTTTATTTTATTGTTATTGTTGTTTTTTTGCTATAAGACATAACTCAAAAACATATTTTTTTTTTTTTATTCTATCGGTTATTTTTCCTTATAGAACGATCATTTTTCTCCTTCATACCATATATATATATATATATAATAGATGCAATTTATTTGAGATGACTCATCGTATACATATCAATATCTATAGACATTGATACACTTTACATTAACACAGATAAGCAATAGCTCATATTTACATAATATCAAATTTATAATTCATATTCATTATTTATTTAATTATTTTATTGAGATAAACTTAAATGAGCAAGTTAATTATAGGGACATCTATCATATTTACATTTATGTCAACTATATATATATAAATCTTTTTAAAGATTTCTGTTATATAGCGACATCATTTACGTCAAACTTATGCTCAATTAAAATAAAATTTCAAGATGTATATTCGATGTATTTAAATAAATTTCTATGATAATATATTTTAATGATGCTTCAATCAAATTGAAATGTTGTCTGACAAAGTGCATTAAACATCAACTCGTTTATATAGACATAGTTTCTATTATCAGATGGACCTACCAATACTATCGGATGATTTGTGTTATGAAAGAAAAGACCATTTAGACATGTTTATTCGTCCTTGAGTAAAAATTGGAAAAAAAACTGATTCATTTTTGTTAAATTGAATTATCATTTAAACAATAGAATGAAACTTTTTCCAACTAAATAATGAATTAAAATTTTCATTTTCAAATATAAATTGTGATGAACGACATCTACACTTTTATTTCGATTCATTATTATAACATTAATATAATTATTTATAATACATAATATGAATAAGAGACTATTTCATCAAAGGTTTTTATTCAATTTTAATATGTTTAGATTCATTTTAACATAAACTACGCCAAGTAAAAGAAAGTTACACAATATACTTATCATTTTGAATAAGTGCTTCCCAGATCGAACATGCACGATCGTAAACAAATTTCGTATACCAAATTCTATAACTAGTGTATATGACCGTATATCAGCGTGTCTTCTTCTATACAGTCACTGTATGTCCAATATTTTAAGTTTGTAGAGGAAGCGGGTAAATACGATTAGAACAATCAAGGAAGACACGATATCGTTAGGATAAACGTAGATACTACTTCTCACAGATTCAATTACTTCCTCGTGCCTATTTGGCAATATATTTTACTTTAATTTCTGTCTTATTTCAACGTGCTGATGTTGTAGAAATTTGACAAGATTCATGTACCAGTTAATTACAACACTGCACCAACAAGAACATATCACAGTTCAGCAGACCTCATATCAAAAGAATTTAACCTTTCAAACGACTTTAAATGGCTTAAACAAATTTCGAAAGACTTCATAAAACTTCAAGACAATCTAGATTGTTCTCTTTAACACGGCTCGCAACTAATATAGAGTTATTGTTTCAATACGTGTTATATGTGCATGAAAGGAAACAAAATACAAATACCATTGTACTGTAGATGATATTCAATATAAGGTAGAGGATAGAGAATATAAATATAGAGTAAGGACGAAAAATAAAAGATCTAAGAATCGAATATGATACATACAATAGAAATATAGGTAGAGAGTATAGCTATGAAAGATATTCACTTTTTCTTAAATAAGAATAGATATTAATATTAATCGAATTGAAAATAAATCAATAGATAATGTACTTATTTAAAATATAATTGAAATCAATATGAGATTTGATAATTATATAAAATAGATATTTTAATTGACATTGAACAATATATATATATATATTTGTTTTTTTTCAAATATATCTAAAAGAATCTATTCATATATTTAAATTGAATTTGATCATTTTTAATCGTTTCTCTATAGAAAATAAATCTTGAATAAACATAAAATAAAGCGATAGAAAAGAAACTCGATGTTAATAATTTGAACTGATTTTGAACAGTTGATATTGTTTTTGTTTATTCTATTGAGTTTACTCAATAATACATATGAAAGGTGAGAATAAATCAAGTTAACTTTTTAATTATAATAATATATTAGAGATCGAAATAAATTGAGAAAATAATTAAAGGATGGGGGACGGTTTGCACGTAAAACTGCCCTAAATAAAAATCATCTCAGAACACTTTCTAAAATTGAATTTCATCTTCCTCTAAGCAAGAATAAAGCATTTGGACATCTTTCAAACCATCTTTAAAGATCTTTTCTCGACATTTCTAACTAAGACAATAGTATTATCAATTTCGCGATCCTCCTCATAGATTAACCGCGTCTGTTTACCAACTCAAACTCATACTTTCAGGAGAGATAGAGCTATTTGAGACCTACAAAATGATCACAAAATGTAAAGGAAAATATCCTGCGCTCGAAAATTTCCAAGGATCACACTCTCTGGATTCGATGGAAAAACCAATTGCTGGCATAGTATGGTCCATATGATTTCCACTATGGCTCCTGATACCATCGTCATTTTTTCAGTGCAGATAGAGCTTTTCAAGAGCTTCAAAATGATCACAAAGTATAACGTAGGTAATGCTAGCACCAGATTCGCGTATTTCCTGTCCCGATTCGCCCCTACGTCTGTGCTGGTTCCCTACTTGGTTGTGCTGGATGCAGAATTTAATTCTCTATCGAATGGTGACAACTTCGGCTGGGGTCATCGAGCAAAAAATAGGGTCTACCAGCAAAAAACCGCTTTTTCCTCCATGTGACGAATTCGGATAAGACGTAATTCCTATCCCGATTCGCCCCTACGTCTGTGCTGGTTCTCTACTTGGTTGTGCTGGATGCAGAATTTAATTCTCTATTGAATGGTGACAACTTCGGCAGGGGTCATCGAGCAAAAAATAGGGTCCACCAGCAAAAAACCGCTTTTTCCTCCATGTGACGAATTCGGATAAGATGTAATTCCTATCCCGATTCGCGCATGCATCTGTGCTGTGCCCTTCTTTGCTTGTGCTGGATGCAGAATTTTGCGCTCTATCCAATGGTATAAGTTTTAGATAGCCTAGTCGTCCAAAAAGTAGGGGTTTCTGGCCAAATACCATCCCAAAAACCACTTTTTTGCATTATCTCCTATCCCGATTCGCCCCTACGTCTGTGCTGGTTTCCTACTTGGTTGTGCTGGATGCAGAATTTAATTCTCTATCGAATGGTGACAACTTCGGCTGGGGTCATCGAGCAAAAAATAGGGTCCACCAGCAAAAAACCGCTTTTTCCTCCATGCGACGAATTCGGATAAGATGTAATTCCTATCCCGATTCGCGCATGCATCTGTGCTGTGCCCCTCTTTGCTTGTGCTGGATGCAGAATTTTGCGCTCTATCCAATGGTATAAGTTTTAGATAGCCTCGTCGTCCAAAAAGTAGGGGTTTCTGGCCAAATACCATCCCAAAAACCACTTTTTTGCATTATCTCCTATCCCGATTCGCCCCTACGTCTGTGCTGGTTCCCTACTTGGTTGTGCTGGATGCAGAATTTAATTCTCTATCGAATGTTGGTATTTTCAAGGGAAATCAAGGGAAGAAACGTGAGTTAATGGGCCGATACCTACCCCAATGGACCCTGCCACCAACAGCTGGATTTTTACGTCGGACCGGGAGATTGTGCTCTCTCTCGGGGGGCTTGTGCTCAGTCTAGAATTCGATTCTCTA